CAGCGCCCCTAGAGGACAGAGTGGAACTGCCCACAGGGTCTCCAAGGCTGTCAGTCTTCACAGAAGCAAAGCCCAAACCACACCCACTGCCGTGGAGTCTATTTTGACCCACAGCGCCCCTAGAGGACAGAGTGGAACTGCCCACAGGGTCTCCAAGGCTGTCAGTCTTCACAGAAGAAAAGCCCAAACCACACCCACTGCCGTGGAGTCTATTTTGACCCACAGCGCCCCTAGAGGACAGAGTGGAACTGCCCACAGGATGTCCCAGGCTGTCAGTCTTCATAGAAGCAAAGCCCAAACCACACCCACTGCCGTGGAGTCCATTCCGACCCACAGCACCCCTAGAGGACAGAGTGGAACTGCACCACAGGGTCTCCACGGCTGTCAATCTTCAGGGAAGCAGACTGCCTCATCTTTCTCCTGTGGAGCAGCTGGTGGGTTCCAACCACTGACCTTTTGGTGAGCAGCTGACTATTTAACCAGTGCACCAGCCAGGCCCCTTTCATCGGTTAAGAGCTTGGCTGCTAACTGAAAGGTTGGTGGTTCAAACACACCCCTCAGCTTTGCAGGAGAAAGGGCAGGCGATTTGCTTCCATGAAGATGACAGCCTGGACAAGTGTACGGCCAGTTGTGCTGGTCTCTCCCACAGTTGGTCGGAGGTGACTCCACAGCCCCAGCAACAGCACAGATGTTGACAAAGGCAGATTGCCAGGCCTTTGTGCCACAGCGTCCTGAAGGGGTCGGATGGCCAGCCTCCATTAGTTGTTAGCGAGCTGTCATTAAATCTATTCGGGCTCATGGTAACTCCGTGTGAGCCCCGTAGGGTTTTCAGTGGCTGATTCGGAAGCGGATCGCTGGGCCTGTCTTCCCAGGCACCGGTGGGTGGGTTTGAACCACGAAACTTTAGGCTAGTAGCTGAGCACTTAACCACTTGTGCTTCCCGGGGGGGCCTGGTCCAGTGCAAACTGCTAGCACCACCTGGCCTTTCTGTGTGTGGCCCAGGCCTAGAGAAATAGAGCAAAGACCACACGGCACGTTTCCCAAGTCGGTGTTCGCTGCCTGCACACATGGCACCACACAGTCGCGCCTTCTCGGTCACTGAAGATGATACCTATGCGTTATTTATGTCCTGACCACACAGTCGCGGCACCCTGACAAGGCCTTATGTCCAGGTCACGCCCCGTACTCATCAAGCAGCACTAGATCATCGTCTGCCACTAGTATCTGACTGAAGGAACGTGCGGGGCGAAGAAACAGAAAACAAGGCCGGCTCCGGACACTGTGACCGGGTCATGATGGGTCCTGACAGGGAGGGGGACAATGTGGGACAGAGCTTCACATCCTCCAAGGATCCTGACGCACCGGGCCCCCTGCGGCCGGACTCCCCGAGACTACTGCCCTGAGCGAGTCTTGAAACCCTGAACTGAAAGGATCCCAGCGCCACCTTTTACCAACCAGCAAGTGAGACCAATCGGTCAGCAGTGACTCTAAGCACAGACGCGGTGTTGGGGGGCAACTCCAAGTTACCGCAACGGACCACGGGGGATGGAGACAACGGGTGCTGGCACAACGGGAGGAACGTAACCAGTGCCACTGGGCAGTCGTGGGGCAGTCCTTGAGCCTGTCTGCTGTGCACGTGTCCTTTCACCAACAATGCACAGGTGAGTAAGCAGGATTGCAGGGACGCCAAGCAGGCGTCGGCCGGTCTCCCCTGGCAGCGGCATCTTCAAAACCACAGAACAATACCCCATCCAGGACACCAACACTGATACCAGCTACCTACCCCATTCAGTTCCCCCATTTTACCTGCACTCGGGTGTGTGGGCACATGTGCATGTGTGCGTGTGTGTAGCTCTGTGCAGTTTCAGCCCGTGTGTGGGCATGTGTGTAGCTCTGTGCAGTTTCAGCCCGTGTGTGGGCGTGTG